AAAATTGAACACGAACAAAAAATGATAGCTATGGAAATAAAGGAACACTGACGTCTGAGACAATTGATCAACATATTGAATTATCCTGTTGTTGACACTATAACTGGTAATTGTTCAGTTTCGGTTGCGTAGGTTAATTCGATATAGTAATCACAACATAACTTTGCATGAAATTAAATTAAACTAAAATTCATAGGTGTTATTGACCTCTAGGGGAAAATATGGAATACAATGGATAGCTCGGAACCAATTACACGATTTGAACTTCGCAGATGACTGAGCCCTCCAATCGCATACACACGAACAAATGCAGATGAAAACAATTAGTGTAGCAGCAGCCTATACATCAGTAGGCCTCAACATACACAAAAGAAAAAGCAAGATCCTCAATTACAACACAATCACACTTGATGGCGAAACTCTGGAAGATGTGGAATCCTGCACGTACTCGAGAAGCATCATCGATCAGCAAGCAGGATCAGATGCAACTCTTAACTAATATCAAAGTCACAATCTTCAATATGAACGTCAAAATAGTTCTACTGTAAGGAGCTGAAACTTGAAGAATTACTACAACCATCATCAAGAAGGTATAAGTATTTATAAATAGTTGTCTACACAAGATACTCAACATCCATTGTCCGAATACCATCAGCAACAGTCTTCTGTGGGAAAGAACGAACGAAACTCCTGCTGAGTTTAGGAAAAGACGATGGATACGGATAGGACATACATTACACAAATCATCAAACTGCATCACGAGGCAAACCCTAACTTGGAATCTTGAAGCGAAGTGGAAACGTGCAAGCCCAAAGAACAGATTACATTGGGAAAGGGAAGCATAAATGAAAAAGCTGAATAACAAGTGGAAAGAGCTGGAAATGATTGCCCAGGACAGGATTGGATAGAGAATGGTAGTGATCGGCCTATATTCCTCTACGAGGAGTAATAGGCGTAAGTAACAAAGTAAGTAACTAGGTCATACCTATTACCCAAAAAATAGCCATCTGAACTCAGTATCTAAGTATATAACATGTTAAACCTTTTAACCCAATAGTACAAGGTTCGAGTCCTTCAGTACACTTTAAATCTGAGATTCAGGTACATCTAATTACTAAATACCAAATAGGATCAAATATCTGTCCTAGATTTCATTACTAACCTCATTCCATCTATTCTATATAACAGGGTCTTTTTTTTACCCATAAAAAATTTTCAATCGCATCAAAATTTTTCTCCATTTGTTCTTGTTACCTTCCCTTTTTTTCATTTTTCTGTCATTCCTTTTAGTTTTATCTTGATTATTGTTTGTTTTAATCTGATCGGAAATTGATCTGGATCATATTTTTCTTTTCTTGTTACATTTCATGATGTTTATAAACATGTTCAAATGAAATAAATGGATGTATATATGGACAGTAACAGTCAGTCAGTCGGTCAATCCGTCAATTTGGAGTTTCTTAAGATTATGTAATATTTATGCTCACTAGTGACTGAATTCACGAGGTATCTCCTGGAGTTCTAGTGAGAAGTAGTGACCAGTGGAGTTCAACCGGGTCTGTTATGAGATACTAACTCACTGAAGACAATAGTGGATGTGTCACTGAATTTCGTGGATTAATTGAAGTTAGACATTAACACCGTTAGATGCCGGCTCAGTGGTCTAGTGGCTAAGTGCTCGCGCGCGAGACCAGTAGGTCCTGGGTTCGGAGATCACAGGGAGCGAGGTCGTGAATGCGCACCACTGAGGAGTTCCACAATAGGGCGAAACGACCATCCAGTGCTTCCAGGTTTTCCACGGTGGTCTAGCTTCAACTGACTCATGATCTTAACCATTGAAATTACTATAATATCCACAAAACCCATCTGATAATATTTATTTGTTGATCATGATAAATGAAATTAATCTACTGAATACATTAGGATACGATCTTGATTTCATTTATATCTACTAAAGTTTGTAATATTGTGCTTTATGAATAAAAGATATAGAGCCAATAAATGTCCTGGCACAGACGAGGGTGGGGAAAGTCAGATCTCCCACTCGAAATGCTCTCACATGACCACACGTATACAGCGATTGCCACGGAAGTCCTACTCACTGAATTATCGTGATATTACTATTCTTTACGAAATTCAGAGGATGAAAAGTGAATGTCAGGCGCTTTAACAGGGCTGGTGGATATATAGGATTCAGATAGGGAAGTTTGATATCCCTGATTCAAAATCAGTGGTATACATGGGCTCGAGGGACCTCAGGAAACGAAAGTCGTGTGTACCAATTGTTGGTCACAGGCTATCATGCGACTGCATCTCCTTACGTTGCACAAATATCTTATGGATTAGACCTAGGCTCCAATTAGTAATACAGCCCTCGCATAAGCCAATGATAACTGCTGTTGGCTTCATTGTTATTGTGTGGTTCACATGTATTTGGTGCCCTTTTGTATGAATGTTTATGCGCTCAAATAAATAAATAAACTACTTGATATATCTGACAGTGCGAAAAATGATGAGAGATATTACACTCAGTTATATTCATCTTTACCAAACTAACTCGCTAAAAAATACTAATCAGAAAAATAATTCAAACCATTTAAACTCTACACTGGGAGTTAGAATATCTTCAATCAGAAGAGTTATGACGTCTCATGGTGAAAGCCGAGTTCCTTCGGAAGTCACGAGTCTGATATCCCTTCTGACAACCAGAGCAACTATTAATTTAGGTACATGGGATGTTCATACAGTGTGAGAGACCGTGAGAGTCATCTAAATTGCTGCAGAAACGAGAAGATACAACTTGGAGGTGCTTGGAAGTAGATAAGTAAATGCAATTTTGGAAATTTTTGATTTCATAATTATGAATCCTTGTATGACTTTAGTTAGACAACTAATGAAAATCATGCACAACTGGATAGCTACTTTTTTTTGATATAGAATGTTTCAATAGTGCTATTCAACTGTATTAATAGTGATACATATATGACCTATAGCGATAAATCATAGTTTCGGAGTATTGGCAATATATTGAAGTTAAATATTTAAACCATGGGCTAATAGTTAAAAATCTTGAAGGTTAAGTACTCATCCTAAAGTCTGAATGTTCTAAGTTCGATGCCTGGTAGAGTCGTGGTGAATAAGCACTAAGACGAAACAACTAATCAATATCTTTTAGATGTCTAACTTAAATTACTTTCTTACATGAAACTAAAAAAACAAGATGATTGAAGATTAAATTAAATTAAGTACGGTTGAAATACATTAACAGTTGGAGCTCGGCAGGAAGAAGTACCGATAAGGATTCTAGATTGCTCGTGCGGGTTTTATGCGTCATTGGTCCGGTCGATGAATCACTGTTCTCTAATTGGCGGTATCATTACGTTATACATTGATTGGGGTACAATCCCACAAGTTATAACAAAAAAGTGAAACTTTCATTGAATTAATAACTTGAATGTATATCATAGACTGTAGACTAATTTATTGGTTGAAGTTAGACATTAACACCATTGGATGCCGGCTCAGTGGTTTAACGGTTAAGCTCTCGCTCGCAAGACTGACGGGTCCTGGTTTCCGATCTCGCGGGGGACGGGATCGCAGATGCACACTGCTGAAGGGTCCCATACTAGGACGAAATGGCCGTTCAGTGTTTACAGGTTTTCCACGGTGGTCTAGCTTCAACTGACTCATGATTTCAACTAGTGAAATTTCTGAAATCTCCACAAAACCCTTTCGGAGAATTTACTGGTTATTGAAATACCATGTTATTTTCGCTAAACAACTCAACTTTTAAGCAATGGTCTACTAGTTCTAACTTCAAATAATTTAGTCTGGTCAATCCAAGTGAATATCATTTTCCAGTTTTCGATAGAAACACGTTGGTTATTTAAAGAAGAATGAAAGACAATTCAGTGAGGAAATCTTTATCCTGACAAGATTACATATATTTGACCATTTGCACGACCAGATAACTGGGCTCGAATAGAGCACAATTCAATAACTTATGCACTGCAGAGATGTTAATGATTCGTTATTTTACATTAGAATGTTATGTGCAGAAATGAAATGTGCAAGCTGCCATTCGACAATGATCCTAATATATCTAATCAGTGCTTTCATCTAATGTTCTGGCGTTTTAAAGATATCCATTGAATTCTTTACCTTCCCCATGTTTGTTACATGAAAAGTTATCGTTTATGGAATTGGTTTCGTCTTGTGTTTTTGGCATTTATTTATTTAGTATTTATTTAAACATATAAACATTCGTACAAGAAAGCACCAAATAGAAATGCGCCATATAAACCATTTGATTTCTGTGAGGGCTAGGATACTGTCCGGGTGCCCAAATAGAAACACGTGATTCTCTTAGAAGGTCACACACGGAGCCTTCGGCTTGAAGGTCTGATTCAAAAGGCAGTGGAGTAACGTTAGGAGATGTAGTCCTATGGTACTCGGTGACCAACAATTGGTTCATACACCATTTGTTCCTTCAGGATACTGGAGATCATGTATACCATTATTTTGGAATCAGGGTTTTCCAAGTAACTTCCCTAGGTGAATCCTCCATATCCACCAACCCGATTAAAGCATCGAACATTCGGTTTCCGTCCTCTTAATTTCGTAAACAACTGTAATGCCGGGAGAATTCAGTGAGTAGGACTTCCTTGACAATGATTGTATGCATGGGTTCATGTGAAAGCAGTTCGAGTGAGAAACCTGACTATCCCCACAATCAGCATTTGAGGACTCTTCCTAGAAGCATATCGACCATTACAAAACCTTTTTCTGATATTTGTATCTCAGAAAGGTTTTGTTAAATGACTGAATAGGATGGAAAAGTTTGAATAAATAGTGATTTTGAAAAAGAAAGTTTCTCCAGCTAAATTCTCTGTAGTTCATCACAAATTGGCTTTAAAAAATAAAATGGAATATTGTCTGAAGAATGTTCAGCAATACTTTTAGAGAACTATGTGATAACATTTAAAAAAAACTTAACTTACAGGATTTTCTATCTTGTGAAGTTCTAGTTCCCCACGGACATATACACTTGTAATCACCACTTGGTAGATCTATACATTTTCCTCCGTTATGACATCTGTGAGGATCTGACTCACATGGCATTTCTAATTATTGAATTATAAAGATAAAATTTATTAATAAACAGGAAGATATCATTAAAAGACAAAGATTTACTTATTATACTGTGGAAACAGTATTATACATGTTAACAAGATGAATAACTCCTCCTGCAGCCCCTCCTAGGGCTACTGCCGGTCCCAAGTCCGGATAAAGGAGGAGGGTTGGGAGTGGGTTTAGCGACCCCATCCCGCAGAAAACTAACTCGCTAAAAAAGCGCTGACCAGAAAAAACAAGATGAATACATACAATTCAATAGGATATATAAACTGATGCAGAAATATTATTCAACAATACGCCATCAGTGAAAAACATATATCTTTGAAATGTAGCTTTCAGGATGAATAAATTTTCAGTTATTTAGGTGGAGTTTCGTTCTCTAAGCTGGATGGTTTGGTCGTGAAGCTTTCATCGTTGTTCTGAACGACATCCTCAGCACAAACGTCTACCTGAAATTTGTGCTGATAATGTCGTTCAGAAGAACGATGAAAGTTCCACGACCAAACCATCCAGCTCAGAGAACAAAACTTCATCACTTAGCTACAAATCTCCACTATTTCAGTTAATCACCCTTATTGTTAGAGGAAATAAAAATGGTAGATTGATAATTAAATAATATTTTATTGAATCATATGTCTTAGCATATCTTCGCAACTTTGAAAATCAATTCAACTGTAGACTATGACAGTAACCAAACTCATGTATCAGTCATGCATACAAGTGAGTAATGTTTACTGGAAGTTTCATTCCAACCACTTGAAATGAAATCCCTGATGAAAGTTATGTACATATATAGAGTTTTTACTGATTAAATGTACAGAAAAATGCTAGATATTGTACACAAGTTGAACATTGAGAAGTAGATGCACTCCGAATAAACAGACAGTTATCCTACCCAGCTGAAATGTTAGAAAAATATGTCAGATTGAGCCTAAAAGTCAAAATAACATTGCAGTGTTTGCTATTCTGATCTACTGATGTTCAGAACATGTGTCTATTTGTTTGAACGTATGAGGAAATGATTACATATTCCGCATAGTCATCTATATTGTAGCATTTGTAATTGTTAAGTGCTTATGTGGTTCTTTCCAACCTTTGGACAAGTGAATTGCTATAGTTTCTACTTCATATATTCTGTCCCTCATATAAATGCCTTTGTTAATTAAGTTCTAATATGAGTAGAAAGGGAAATAGAAAGATTGATAATGAGAAAAGTGAATTAGAAACATAAGTGAATGTGAGAATACATCGTCCCAGGATCGTCAATAAGGTGGTAAAGACACTTTATTCATTGAATATTTGTTTTATGCTTTATACATACGGTTGAAAATGAACTGAATGCTTTAAACGGCTTATTTAGGGAAAAAACACAGAAACTTAAAAATTTCACTTCACATATAAATCTGCACAAGCGTGAAACTAAAAACGTCTAAACCATCATTGTGTTCTAGTGATTTGAATTGAATTCATGAGTCAGTTAAAGTCATACCATCATGGAAAACCAGGAAACACTGGAAGGTCATTTCATCCTAGTATGGAACTCCTCAATTGTGCACATCCACGACCTCAGGACTCCCGAACTCACATGAGAACGCTCAACTTGTAGACCATTGAGTTGGTATCCAACGTTGTTAAAGTCTAACTTCAACTAATCCACGAAATTGCACCACCGTCCACTGTTGTCTTCAGTGACTTATTATCTCACAAAAGACTCAGTTGAATTGCATTATTCACGGCTTCTACTACTACTACCTCCACCAAAAACCCTTTCTGATGATTTAAGTAAATTATGACTGGAAGTTGACGGTTATTGAAATAAAATCATTTGAGGAAGTGATTACTGATAGGATCAACTTACTTAATGTGTAAACACAATCTAATGTTGATTTATCAAAATGTGTATTTTCTGGGCAATTACATCTGAAATGTAAACGAATAAAACAAACATAATTAATTTCTTATTTAGTATAGCGGAAATTCTTAACTCTGAAATTATATAGCACTCATATAATCGATTTTATATTATGTTAAGAATAATCCGTCTGTCGAATACTATCAGTTACATCTTACTATGATAGAGAACTACAGAACTAGGACTAGGTTCGAATCCCGCGAGGCGGGGTCGTGGATGCGCACTGTTGAGGAGTCCCACCATAGGACGAAACGACCGTCCAGTGCTTCTATGTCTAGCTTCAATTGACTCCTGATCTCAACTGTTGAATTAACTAGAACTATTCAGTTAAAGTAGTAATTAGAAGGACATTCTGAAGGTGGGTAGAACGTACATTGAAGAAATCATCAAATTGAATCATTAGATAAGTCAAATTAAATTCTTATAGGTTAGAGAAAAAGTGGTAGATCAACGAAATCATTGAAATGGAAATTAAAAGCACATGGACGGCACATGGATACAATAAGAAAGGGGAGCCGAGGACAGATTAGGTTCGAGAATCTCAATCTGTAATTTATGCTGTCATGACGGGTAACGGGTGTAAGGAAATAAGTAAGTAAGAATCAGCTATAATACTTGCAAAAGGTGTACGAAGAACAGGTTAACTAGTCATCATCCTTAATTTTTTTCAAGAGTTTGATAATATAGAACTACTTTGCAGAGTCATTATTTCAGGTTTCCAGTAAACCATACTGATGGATACTACTACGAAGATCTTTGGAGGTTGAATTATTCATAGAAATCATTAGTGTATTATAAATTTCGATCAGACTTTAGAAATTAATCATTTTCTTGTAAGTATGGAATTTAGTAGATCATGCATTGACTTAAGTCAGATTTATATCATACGAAATTCCTACGATGGATCAAACTGCAAAATCATGCATGGAGGACAATTGACAAACTCCTTCGAGACAAAGACCGGTGTCAGGCAGTACTGTTTACTCTCACCCTTCCTCTTCAACCTGGTGATCGACTGAATCATGAAGACGTCAACATCTGATGGGAAGCACGGGATACAGTGGACAGCTAGGATGCAGCTGGATGATCTAGACTTCGCAGATGATCTGGCCCGCCTATCGCAGAAGCAACAACAAATGCAGGAGAAAACTACCATTGTAACAGCTGTCTCAACAACAGTAGGTCTCAGTATACACAAAGGGAAAAGCAAGATTCTCCGATACAACACAGCACGTGCCAATCCACTCACAATTGATGGAGAAGATTTGAAAGATGTAAAAACCTTTACATATTTGGGCGTCATCACTGATGAACACAGTGAATCAGATGCAGATGTGAAGACGCGGATCGGCAAAGCAAGAGCAGTATATATTTACAACTGAAGAACATCTGGAACTGAAAACAACTGTCAGAATTTTTAATACAAATGTCAAAACAGTTCTACTGTATGAGACGGAGACTTGAAGAACTACCAAAACCATCATCCAGAAGATACAGGTGTTTATTAACAGTTATCTATGTAAAATACTTCAGATCCGTCGGCCGGACACTATTAGCAACAACGAACTGTGGGAAAGAACAAACCAGATCCCAGAGGAGGAAGAGATTAGGAAGAATTGCTGGAAGTCGATAGAACACATATTGAGGAAAGCATCGAAATGTGTCAGAAGACAATCCCTCACATAGAATTCTAAATGACAAAGGAGAAGAAGACCCAAAAACACATTATCTGGAGAAATGGAGACAAACATGAGAAGAATGAACAAGAATTGTATAGAACTGTAAAGGAAGGCTCAGGACAGAGTGGATTTGAGAATGCTGTTCGGCGGCCTATGCTCCATTGGGAGTAACAGGCGTAAATAAGTAAGCAAGAGTGATTTACAGTACTCTAAAAGTTATTGATTAACACCCATGAGTTCATCACATAAAATCCTTCCATCCTAACAATATCGTAATTAATATTAAGTAATAGTTAAATAATTTTATTATGTCACAATCATAACATTTTCCAGTTCATCTTTATTTATTTCCTGGCGTAGTTACACATAAACCGAATTAAAAAAGAAAGCCAGTACCAGTGGGGTCCAATCCATGTCGGATGTGAGACAGTTATCCACCACAGACAATGAATGAAGGGTTGTGCAAGATCATTGATCAACTGAAGTTAGACATTAACACCGTTAAGTGGTGGCTCAGTGGTCTAGAGGTTAAGCGTTCTCGTGAGAGATTGAAGGTTCTGAATTCGAATTCTGCATGCGGGATCGTGGGTGCACACTGCTGAGGAGTCCTATGGTAGGACAAAACGACCGTCCAATGCCTCTAGATTTTTAACGTTGGTCTAACATAGAATGACTCGTGAATTCAACATTGAAAATACCGAACTATTTCCAGGTAATATAGCAGATTTATTGTTCCGGTGAATTATTTCAATGGGGTTTTTTCTACGAGCTAAGTGATCTATGATCTTATGGTTCTGATGGTTTGATTTATTTCTTTTTCCAACTCATCAGTGTTCGTATTCAGCTACAAATTGATTTACATATCGAATTAGCATTGAGTTACAGAATAGTTGAGAACCTTCTGACCAATGATTATGTATGTTCCATTGTGTTTTAGAACATTGCAACAATGAATCAATTATCAACTCATATAAGATCAATAAGACGACTTTTAGATCCTTAGGTTGAGTATGATAGTGAGTTTTTGTATCCTTGAAGCATTTTGTTAGGCTAGGAAGAAACGTTTACATTGTAGTCATAACCTATAGTTTAACGCAGTCATTTCCCAATCCTTCGGTATTTCATTTTCTTTTACTTCCAGTTGTCTCATTGTTTACCCTACCTTGTGAATGGAACTTAAAAGTTCGTCTTGTTTTGTTATGCAATCAATATTTATGTAGATTTGATGACTCTGAGTATCAATATAAGGACGAAGCAATTGTATCGACTTCTAGTTGTTAGCTAATTATAAACTGAAATCAAGTCATGATTATAATTATGTTACAATTAGTTTTCAACGAATACTTACTTGTATGATCCTTCTTCATTGATACACTGACCTCGTTGACAAACTCCATCCACTTCACATTCATTAATATCTTAATATAAATGAAAACAGCAAACAATTATCATTAAGCATAATAAGAACATCAATATGCATGCTGAATTTCAGGAATCCAGTCGAATTCATCCTATGTATATTTGTCTAGTAACTCCGCCTGGAGCCCATCTGGGGGCTACTGCCGATCCTAAGCTCAGATAAAGAATGAGGGTTGGGCATTGGGTTAGCGACACCATCTCGTATAGAACTAACGCGCTAAAAAGCACTAATCAGAAAAAATAATTCAAACCATTTAAACTCTACACTGGGAGTTAGAAGGTTTTCAATTAGAAAAGTTATGACGTCTCATGCTGAAAGCTGAGTTCCTTCGGAAGTCACGAGTCACAACCAGAGCAACTATTAATTTAGGTACATGGGATGTTCATACAGTGTGAGAAACTGGGAGGGTCATCCAAATTGCTGCAGAAGTGAAAAGACAAAACCTGGAGGTGCTTGGAATCAGTGAAACACAATGGACACAGATTGGATAACAAAGACTAGATTCAGGGGAGTTGCTGTTATACTCTGGCCATGAAGAAGAAAATGGTCCACATCACAATTGATTGATCACTGGGTGGTGATCAATGTCATGCTTGTCTAGTCCAGGGAGCACCAGTTCCCTCAAGATTACAGGCACCTTGCTGACGAGTGCCGAGTAGCACGAAACCCGGGTCCAGGGTTTCCTGTTGACTACCTCCAACTACCATCTAAAATGATCCACATACACAAGAAGTTGCATTGATGCTATATTTGTCTAGCATATGATCAATTACATTTGTCGCCAAATTTCCATACGTAACTAAAATTGTTTGAGTGTACTAATCAAGACGAAAATGACAAAGGAATGAGATTCAGTTAGCCGCTGATGAGATTGGAAGATGAATGTTTTACACTATGAATGAGATGAAGTTCGATATGTAAATTATTGAATGTTGGCTGAGTAGATTAAAGATTAACCTCTTTTCACGAGATTGAAGGTTTCGAGTTTGATCTGTGGTGGTGTGATCTTGTATGTACACTGTTGAAAAATCTCACGCTTGGACGAATACTCTCCTAAGTGTTTCATGGTTTTCAATGGTCGTCAAACTAAGATCAGTTGACGATGTAAATAATACAAAGAAAATTAATGAATAACAGCTGCAATATAATCACTACTTAGATCTCATCAGTGAGTTGGTTAAGGCAAACAATTTTTCTCTTTTTATAAAACGCGCTATGAATGGATCAGAAGTGCTTGACAGCAAAATATTACCATAACAATAAAATATTTTTACTTTATTCACCAGATTTTTTGAAGAGGTTTACTGAGCCGTACAAACATGAAGGCATTGAACGGTTATTTCAAACTAGTATGGGACTCCTTAGCAGTAAGTACCCACGATCCCGTAGGCCAGCGGGATTCCAACCCAGTATCTTTGGACTCGCATGTGAATGCCTAACCTATAGACGACTGGGCCGGAATCCGACGGTGTAAATGTCTAACTTCAATCAATCTACGATTGTAGATGGGCACTGTTGAGGAGTTCCATACTAGGACAAAACGGCTGTTCAGTTCTTCCAGGTTTTCCATGGTGATCTAGCTTAGATCGCCTCATGAATTCACCTATTAAAATACTACCATCTCCACAAAAAGTCCCCTTTCTGATAACAATCTTTTATGTTGATAGTATTCATTAAATCAAAAACTACACCATTCATAAGCTTGATATCTATCTGTCCAGATAAAAATGTCATAAGTTAACCAGCCAGACTAGATTTACTTTGGTAATCCGGTGATGATAACTCCGCCTGAAGTCCCTCTAGGGGCTACTACCGGTCCCAAGCCCGGATAAAGGAGGATAGTTAGGCATGGGGTTAGCGACCCCATCCCGTAGAAAACTAACTCGCTAAAAAAACGCTGACCAAAAAAAACGAATCCGGTGATGGTAATCTATAAATATTCAAAAAAGGACTATTACCCTATTCAGCATTAAATATCAAACTTCTCACCTTTACATACTCCATCAATTTGTTCATATCCTTTTCTACAATGTGTACTTCGACAAATTTGACATGGTTCACCCCATGCAATTCCTAATGCATTACAACATACTTCATGAGTTAATGGAATAGCTTCATAATCATATTGAGATATTCTATATTGCATTGGATTAACACATAATCCACGTTTCAATGATATGTAACAAGCACCTGTTAGTTTAACTGTAAAAATGAACAAAACAAAAATGTAGAGAATAAATACCTGAAGGGATTTTGTGGAGATTGTAGTAATTCCAGCAGTTGAGGTAGTAACTTACTGATGACAATGGTGGATGTGTCAGTCAATTTCGTGGATTAATTGAAGTTAGAAATTAACACCCTTAGATGCCGACTCAGTGGTCTAGAGGTTGAGCGCCCATACGTGAGACTGATAGGTCCTGAGTTCGGATCTCGTAAGATCATGATCGTGGATGCGCACTACTGAGAAGTCCCACGGTAGGACGAAACAGCCGTCCAATGCTTCCAGGTTTTCCATGATGGTCTAGCCCTAATTGACTCGTGATCTCAACTGTTGGTAGAGAATAAAGTCTAATCTATAAAAACTAAACATTTCAGTAGTGTATCTCTATTTTTCTTACAAGTGATAAAATATCAAGTCTATATCACAATTCATTTCAAATCATCTGAAGATAAAATCTTAGATCACTAGTTCCTAACTGACTATTCCAATAGAAGTTTGTTCACTGTGAAATATTAAATTACAAGTAACTTCTGAGAACTATTAATGGACTAAAATTACACGTGTATTCTTATTGTATAACGATTCAGTAGCTACATTGTACATATCTATATTCCCCATATTGTAAGCTTCCATTTGACCTATAAATTATTATTATTATACAATTCACTGTTCATAAATTATGTTCAGTTTATTGATTACAGTCTGCCACAATCACAGTCACTTTTGGGCTAGATCTTGTACAAATGTTATTTTCTGTTTTATGATTTGATTTGATCTGTTTGTTTGGTATATAAACCAAGTATGTATGAAGTAAATGATTCGCATAGCGGAAGCTGATATTGGTGTTTTGGACTCAACTGGAAGGGTGCTAGGGGGACAAAAGACCAATAAGGACGCTAGATTGCTTATACCAGTCGAACGTCATTAGTTTGGCACATTAATAAGATTGTTTAGGTTGCATTTCGATTGGAGAGTATATCGCATAACAATTAGCCAGCCTTAAAGCCACAAAAGGCACCAAAGGATATTTACTAGGAAATAGAGGTATTTATCCTTCAATCTTATATTTTGGTATGTAGTGTTAACGCTTTGTCAACTAATCATTTGTACAATCAAATTAATGCTAAAATTACAGTTGAATACTTAAGAATGAATGTGGTACTGAAAGCCTCAGGAAAGTTTGTCCGTTTTAGGCTTTAAATCAACTCTCTACTTTGGTAAGAACCAGTTGCTTGATAAAATAGAAAAACCATACTATAATACATCATTTTCAAAATGTTCAATAATGGTCTCGGACTTCATTGTTCTTGCATTACTATACTAATTGCTTTCTATTCCTGATCTTCCTTTCTTGATCTTTCCAATCTTCTGCTGCCAGATATTATATTCCTGACTCGCGTTATATACTACTTATGTCAATATAAGTAGCACGCACCACAATAGTACCTTCATTATTGAAACTATATAATAACACATATGTATTCAGATTATTTTGATAGATCCCTACGAGGCAACCAATATCTACTTTATATAGTTTATAATTTTTTTATCGTCTTCACTTGGAATCCTCAAGGCTAAAGGAGAAGAGGAAGACCAAAGAACATATTACGTCGAGAAATGGAGACAGATATGAAAAGAACGAACAACAATTGAATAGAATTAGAAAGGAAGGCCCAGGACAGAGTGTGTTGGAAAATGTTGGTCGGCGGCCTATGCTCCACTGGGAGTAATAGTCGTAGGTAAGTAAGTAAGTAATTATTGATGACCGCATACTTTCGATCGATACGTAATTTGACCACCAATCTAAATAATTCAACGTGTCATGCGATAAACAAAAACGCTTGGTGGTTGGAGACAACTGACAGAACACTATAAACCTAGATTTCATGCTTATATATACTCAATAAAGAAAGACAATAATTTGGAGAATAGATTTGTATGGAACCGTAAACCACACACAAACTTGTACATGTTTAGACAGGGTTATATATACTTTTGAGGAGTGTTACTATTATTTAGATCCTCAATAGTTCATCTATATTATAGAGTATGTATGCTTACAACTAAGAATGTGTGACTTAATACACGTATCCACTTATATATTTACTCCATATACTCAAAAACTGATTAATTAAAATATCAATATAGTACTTAATTGACAATGATTTATCGACTGAATCATGAAGACGTCAGCACCTGAGGGGAAGCATGGGATACAGTTCACAGCTAGAATCCAGCTGGATGATCTAGACTTCGCAGATGATCTGGCCCTCCTATCGCAGACGCAACAACAAATGCAGGAGAAGACGATCAGTGTAACAGCTGTCTCAACAACAGTAGGTCTCAGTATACACAAAGGGAAAAGCAAGATTCTCCGATACAACACAGCACGTACCAATCCACTCACAATTGACGGAGAAGATTTGAAAGATGTAAAAACCTTTACATATTTGGGCATCACCACTGATGAACACAGTGGATCAGATGCAGATGTGAAGGCGCGGATCGGCAAATCAAGAGCAGTATATTTATAACTGAAGAACATCTGGAACTCAAAACAACTGTCAGAATTTTCAATACAAATGTCAAGATAGTTCTACTGTATGAGACGGAGACTTGAAGAACTACCAAAACCATCATCCAGAAGATACAAGAGTTTATTAATAACAGTTGTCTACACAAAATACTTCGAATACGTTAGCCAGATACTATCAGCAACAACCTACTGTGAGAGAGAACAAACCAGATCCCAGTGGAGGAAGAAATGAGAGAGAATTACTGGAAGTGGATAGGACACATATTGAGGAAAGCATCCAACTGCGTCACTTGGAATCCTCGACGACAAAGGAAAAGAGGAATACCAAAGAACACATTACCTCGAGAAATGGAGAGAGATCTGAGAAGAAAGAACAAGAATTGTATAGAACTAGAAAGGAAGGCCCAGGATAGAGTGGGTTTGAGAATGCTGTTCGGCAGCCCATACTCCATTGAGAGTAACAGGCGCAAGTAAGTAAGTAAGTATCGAGTCATGTATTTATTTGCATGGTAAGTACCAGTTCATTCCTTCCTCTCAAGGACAATAATGCGAAAAATACATAGATTTCTTCTAGAAAGATTATGATTTGTGTACGAACCAATCAAATTTAAAATAACGAATCCTGGAATTTGTGTGAAATTTATTCGTTCATATGGATAAATGAGCTAGAGGCAGCGAGATCAAAACCTGGCACAAATCTATAAAGTCACTGAAATGTGGACTGAGTTATGTTGTTAGGTAGGTGTAGACTACCTGGTTGGGATCCGTGAAACTATAGCAACCGATGGTTAGAGACCTTGAGTGAGATGGCTCAAAATCGTTTGCAATGGTGCAAATGAATCCATGCTTTGTGTTCCCCCAAATTCTAATCTCCTAAATTCTTCATGTCCGTTTCTTTTCTCTTTCCAAATTTATTTCATTGGATTATACTCCTTGAATAACATCTTCAAACCCTAATATTTGCGATTACTGCTTATACTTCTACCACATCTACCACTAAGGGATTTGAATCAACAATTGTATCTCTGTGTCAATATGTTTTGGCAACTCTAACTGATGTATGTACGTACGGAGTTCTAGGTTGCTGCTGACTGACTGGGATGGATTATTAATATTTTGACATTATAACCGATACTAGTTTATGTTAAAAATCCTAACTCTAATTTGTAAACCGAAGTTATAACTGAAACTCCTTATCATAATTCCCTATTTGGACTCAAGCAGCTGGGTGAATTTCCTCAAAGTCAAACCACCATGGAAAACCTGGGAGCACTAGATGACCCTTTCTTCCTACTGTGGGACTCCTTAGCAGTGTTCAAACAATCGCTTAACTTAGCTTCAATTAACTCATCATCTCAACTATTAAAATTACTATAACATCTATAAAACCCCTCTATATATTTGTTTAATCTTGCGCTTTGAGTGTCTTTTTTTTAGTCACAAATAACCAATTATGCTTTGAGTATACTATTTAACATGTGTTGTGTTGATTATAACCCGATAATCTATTTCATCATCATGGAAGATAATTGAAAAGGAGATAGGTATTAGTTAAATAATCTTCATGAATATAAAGAGCCCATTGAAAAAGATCACATACTTTCACATTTTAACCCACTATATCCTGTTCGACAAATACATGCTCCATTTTCACATGTTCCACGTTCATTACAATTATCCGGACACTGATCTTTCAATGATAAATGAAGAAATAATGATACATAATTAGTTATATTTAATTTACAATGATTTGAATGATCTGTAATTTGTCAGAAGGGGTTTTGTGGAGATTTCAGAAATTTCACTGGTTGAAGTCACGAGTCAATTGAAGCTAGACCAACATGAAAAACCTTGGAGCACTGGACGGCTGTTTCGTCCTACTGTTCGCATCCACGACCTCGCCCCCTGTGAGATCCGAACTCAGGACCTACTGGTCTCGCTCGCGACCACTTAGCCACTAGACCACTGAGCCGGCATCCAACGGTGTTAATGTCTAACTTCAATCAATCCACGAAGTTGCACCACTGTATAACATTGTCTCCAGTGAGTTACTATCTCATAACAGACCTGGTTGAACTCCACTGGTAAGGGCTTCTCACTAGAACTCCAAAAGTATCTCTTGAAGTCAGTCAGTGCTTCCAGGTTTTCCATGGTGTTCTAGCTTCAATTGACTCATGATTTCAACCATTGAAAAATCTGCAATTTGATCATCTTTCGTTGGTAAATATCTATTCTGGATTGATTGTTTCCATATATCGAATATGGCAAGTAACTAACGAGACTTAAATAGGACAAGCCATCCGTTCTGATTTCCACTACTAGCTACATTTGAACTATTCAATAATTGTTTCAATGATTAAGATCATGAGTCAATTGAATCTAGACCACTATAGAAAACCTGTGAGTACTGGACGGCTATTTCTATATTTAGCTAAAATGATATTGGAATTAATTCTCCCAAATTATCGAAACAAACATTCATTTTAGGTAAAGAAAGTTGTTAAAATTTACTTATACAACTGGAGTTATATTATAAATCCTCCGTAGTCAGCATCTACATCATCAATATCAAATACAGAATATTTGGATCTTTCAGAGACCTCATAACTTCTCAAGCTGTAGAGCCTAGATCCAATAGTCTAACTTCAATCAATTTAAGAAATATTCTGATTCCAGTTGTGGTAGGTAATTATCCCATATCCACAATTACTAACGTCTACTAGAAGTGTCATCATATTAGAACTCCAGTAAACTAGAGAAATTTAAAAATCTCTACAAAATCCGTGTACTGGCTTCAAGAGGTTTTTCTTGCAGTTCTCGTGAGAAGCAGTGACTAGTGGAGTTCAACCGGGTCTGTTGTGAGGTAGTAACTCACTGAAAAAATAGTGAATATGTCGCTGAATTTCGTGGATTAGTTGAAATTAAACATTAACACCCTTGGATGCCGGCTCAGTGTTCTAATGGTTAAGCGCTTGCGCGCGAGACGTATAGGTTTTGAGTTCGAATCTCGTAAGGCGGGATCTTGAATGCGAACTACTGGACAGTCCCACAATAGGACGAAACGGTCGTCCAGTTCTTCCTGGTTTTCTATGGTGGTCTAGCTTTAACTGACTCATGATCTTAACAACTGAAAATATCGTTTAAATAATAAGATTCAAGCTCTTTATAGAAAATATACCAGATTCTAAAAAGACATTCTTCGATGAGATAAATTGATCTTCTATATGAATATTTGTCAATATTAGAAAATTGTCCAAAATTAGTTTCATTGGATTCTTTAATCATAATGAATATTGAATTCTTTATATAAATGTTTATCATTGAATGTATATACTTATTTAATCCAATTAGGGAGAAACATTTATCTTCTCCTGGAGCCCCTCTGGAGCTACTGCTGGTCCCAAGCCTGGATAAGGGAGGTAGGTTGGGCATAGGGTTAGTGACCCCATCCCGTAGAAAACTAACTCGCTAAAAAACGCCAACCAGAAATACTTAGAAATATATTCTAGTGAAAATAAAACAACTATGATAATAGAGATTATAAGCAAAGATGGATAATGGTTAGCAGTGGAATCCAATACAAACGTTTCGTCCTATTTAGGACTTGTCAGTTGGATGCAGCTGCACCTCAGAGTTAATGTTTACTCTGAAACTCGAACCCAGTACCGTTAGCTTCAATAGTCATCGTGTTATTCACTTAGCTACTGAGTCCTGATAATCACTTCTTTGTACAATGAGATGAGGTTTAATTTCACTTGATACTGTTTACTTAAACCTTTCTATTGTTGTTTAAGACTACATTTGATCAGTATCTTATTGGCATATGTACATAGTGTGCATATTGCTTCGATATGGCCTTAATTCACAAGCATTATAAGTTGTGATAACGTGGTAGCGTCTGAATCGAGTGGTATTCGTTTCGCGTTCCAAAGTGAACATCAACTCTGAGATGCAGGTACATCCAGCTGACGAGTCTTAAATAGGCGGAAACGCGCGTCCTGGATTCCACTACTAGCCACTAAACTATCTTTGCTTAGGATGATTGTCACTTAAAATAATATCTAGTCAATCCACACCGGATGTACATATGCCAATAAGAGACTGATCAATTGAAGTTCTAAATATCAATAGGAAGATTCAAATCAACAATACCAAGTGAATTAAAAACTTCATCCCATTGCACAAACAATTGACTATCAAGATTTAATAGTTAAGTGGATAATATGATGGTGTTTGAAATTATTTATATTGTGTTCAAGTGCAAGAGTGAATATCAACTCTGAGATGCAAATATATTCAACTGACGAGTCCTAAATAGGACAAAACGTGCGTCAAACTAGATTCCACTTCTAACCACTATCCATCTTTATTTAAAAAGAGCTTATAAATTAAGGCGGTTACAAGTCAATCCACACAAGATGCATATATGCCAATATGAAACTGTTCAATTGTAATCCTAAACATCCACGAAAGGAAGAGACAAGTAAAACAATACCAAATCACAATTGATTGATCACTGGGTGGTGACCAGTGTCATGTGTGTCAAGTTCTTATTATTAGTGCGGATCGAATGCTATCGACCAAGTTGTAATGTGGCCACTAGTCTAGGTGATTCGATACTACGTGCACTATTGTGAGATTAGATGGTGGTTGGAGGTAGTCGACAGGAAACCATGGACCCGGGTTTCGTGCTACTTGGCACTCGTCAGCAAGGACTTGACACACATGACATTGATCACCACCCAGTGATCAAACATTTGTGATTACGTCTCAGTCCTACAGAAGGTTGGTCGTCGCCCGGATAGCTCAGTGGTAATGTCTCTGACTGCGAAGCTGGGCGAGACGGGATGGAATCCGTCAGAGAGCACCAGTTCCCTCAAAATTACAGGTACACCTTGCTGACGAGTGCCAAGTAGCACGAAAGCTGGGTCCAGGGTATCCTGTTGACTACCTCCAACCACCACCTAAGACAATACCAAATGAATATTAAAACCAAATGAATTTTACAATGAAATAACAACAGCAACAAAAATTCTTGTCAAAGTCAGCTGATGAGCTTTTAGTGTGAAATTATTTAAAGGTTAAACAAAACAACAAAAAAGAGAAAAATCTGAAAAAGAAAAACCTTTTTTTCAAAAAAGAAAAATTGATACTTTTGATGATAATTCACTAAGAAATAAGTAGAATTTTTGTCAAAAATAGTTGCTAATAATCGAAATAACAAAAGCACATGGTAACTAAGTAGTTGAAACTCGTTGTTGACGGATAGAAACTAATTTGTAGTATAGATATGAAAATGAACATGTTCACCTAGTGGGTTCCTTCAAGGTTCAGTAGTAGGACCTCTTGTTTTCTTGATTTATATAGATGATCTGCCACAACGGATATCGTCTGATTTGATAGTTTTTGTTGATGATGTGAAATTTCGGAGAGAGAGAGAGAGATACGCAACGAAGAGAATATACTGACACTTCTGGAGGATCTGACTCGACTTCAAAGTTGGGCAGATGATAACGGACTTACCTTTAACACTTCAAAGTGTAAAGTAGTCCATCTGAAACATGTTGTAAACTACAGCTACAACTTAGACAACTCCCCTCTAGAAGTATCCCAAGTTGAAAAAGATGTAGGAGTTCTGGTGCCCTACGATTTGAAGTTTTACGTTGACTTTGACAAAAATGCCTTTCGAGCAAACCATTCACTGGTAATATTGGAGCTCATTTCTGGCCAGTTTCACGAAACAACTTTCCATATAACCTTCAGCAGTTTTATGCGTACCCATTTAAAAAACAGAGACATAATACTTCCTCCCACACTTCAAAAGGAAAAGGACATTCTGGAACGTATCCAACGGCTAGCCACAAAGTCAATTCGGGGACTCAGGTTCAAGCCTTATGAAGAGCGCCTCTAATCACTGAACCTTTACCCGTTAGAGTATAGGCGACCAAATAGTTGACCAAATCATCTACCTCAGAGAACAAAACTCCATCAAAATCATCCATCTAAGCTACAAGTCTTTTCCACTTACGTCAATTACTGCATACTGTTTCCTACCTCAATGTAAAATCCTAATCCTAATTTGGTTGTAAGAAGCTTATCAGAAACCACGAAATATGGGGAATTTATATTATTCTGCATCACTGTTTGTTCTAGCTCTACCATTCTTAAGTTATGCTCAGTCTATGAATTACGGTCTCTCATATTCACAGCTACATTTGCTAGAACTTGCATAAATTTTATTTGGTTTGTATATAAACCAAATATGTTTGAAATACATGATTCATATCTCAGAGGCTGAAATTGGTGTTCTGGACCTCTTAGGCAGGGCTAGGCAGGAAGCAGGACCGATAAGGACTCTAGACTGCTCGAACTTGTTTCACACGTTATTGGTTCGGTCGATAAGTCACTACTCTCTAATTGTCGGTGTCATAACGTTACACAAATAATAAAAACCTAATCTTTATGAATTGTAAAACAGTGACTCGATGAAATAATAGCTGATAATAGAACAGCAAGTTATCGTTTCAGTCTTGTGTGTGATGTTGACATTAGATGTTTTGAAGTGATCTTACAAACAAACCTTAATCTTGATTTCATGATTATTTACACTCATTAACAACGCCTACCTAGGATCTCGAGTGAACTGCATCATCTATTTTAATGATTTAAAACGTTACTACTCAAGTAATCAGATAGTAATTGACTTCTAGGTTAACTGAAACTTTCACACTGATTGATCTTTGAGTAGTAGTGATCAATATCATGTTTGTTTAATCTATAATGGTGATCGAAATTTATCGACCAAGTACTCTTAAACTAGAATGAAGTATCTTTTCAGAAATTTATGGCTGTGTGTCGGTTTATTTATCTTTTTCCTAACTGATATTGTGGTGTGTGCTACTTATATCAACATGAGTAGCATAAAACGATAGTCAGGATTAGAATGTTTGGCAGCAAAAGTTCGAGAAGGAAGAACTGGAACACAAAGCAATTGATATGAAAATGCAAGACCAATGAAGTCTGAGACGATTGACTGATGTTTGCAAAAGAAAGAGTCAAGTTTAAGACAACTGATTAATATTTTGCAAATGAACTACTTACTGTATGGTTCTTAGATTTTATTAAGAGATTCTGTAATTTCTGTTTCCAATTGCATTTGGTTGTCCCGCCTGTGTTCTCGTTCACTACAATATCATTTGTGAATTAGACTGATCCTTTAGTTTTTACGAATATACTTACTTACTTACTTACACCTGTTACTCGCCATGGAGGAGTATAAGCCACCCACCAGCACTCTCCATCCAACCCTGTCCAGGGCAATTTCATGTATATACATGTATATATATATATATTCTAATAGTGATTATTTTATAACATGTATCTTCCATAGAAACAACAAGAAAATTTCTACACTGTATAACAAGTTTTGATGATGTAATTATCATTGGAGTAGTTTATAACTTACACAGAACACATTTTCTTTCTACAACTAACATATGGTCAACTACACAGATGTTTATTTGCAATGCTTGATTAAATTACTTTCATAAGAAATAATGCGTTTAAGTAAATCAGTTTTATGGTATCCATGATAATAGTATTGATGTAATCAGCAGAAACTAAGGTGACGTTAATTGTAGAGGTAGTAGCAGTAGAAATTGTAGTAACGGTATTAAGGATAGAAGTATCAGAAGTACCAAAAGCAATCATCACAATGAATAGTAACAACGGTAATAGTAGATGTTGTAGTATTAGTAGTCTTATAAAAGGATGTATTACTAGTGTAGTGTATACTACTTATGTCTACAGACGATATAGGTAGTATGTAACACCAGTCAGAAAAGGAATGCATGACAGCAGAATGCTATGAAGGTCAACTTGAAGTAAACAGAAACGGAAATAGAAAGGAATTATGACATGGCAGAATCATACAGAATGTGAAAAAAGCAAACGATTGAATATCGCAGATGAATTATTCAATGTATGGTCTTCATATTTTACCCAGAAATTCTAAAATTATGTACTAAACTAAGTTAGTCGTCCTCACTTGTGTTCTCATTCACTACTGTAGTAGTAGCATTCATAATGGCAGTCAGCATACCATTCATTTGCTTTAAGGAATGCATCGTTTACTAAATGTATTCAGGAAATCAATATCCAATTCTTTTCAATAGTGAAGATAAACAGACATGAATATCGGTCATATATCACAAGAATGACTAAACAGCATAATTATAAAAAGTTTCAAGGAAGCCATAATTCATTAAGTCATCAACTATTTTGTCTAATGGTACCAAAAAATACAAACTTCTTATTTCGATGAAAGAGAACAATCCTAACCAATATCTGATAATCGAAGGCGGTCACGAATATCTTCCAACTGCCTGATAGACTAACTAAACTTAACGCTTATATTTTGTTTAAGTTAAGATCTGTCTAATGAATATAACATGTAATGTGAAGAGTATGAAAAAGCAGAATCAGATACAGACGTAAAGGTGAGGATTGGCAAACCAAGGATAGCATTCCTACAATTGAAGAACATGTAGAACTCAAAACAACTTTCAACCAGTATCCAAGTCACAATCTTCAATACGAACGTCAAGGCAGTTCTACTGTAAGGAGCTGAAACTTGGAGAACTACAACAACCATCATCAAGAAGATGTAAATATTTATAAATAGTTGTCTACGCAAGATACTCAACATCCATTGACCGGTTACCATTATCAACAACCTTCTGTGGGAAAGAACAAACCAACTTCCAGCTGAAGAGGAAATTAGGAAAAAACGATGGAAATGGTTAAAATATACATTACGCAATTCATCAAACTGCATCACGAGGAACTCCCTAACATGTATTCCTGAAGGGAAGCGGAAAAGTGGAAGGCCAAGGAACACATTACGTCGAGAAGTAGAAGCAGATATGAAAAGGATGAATAAGAACTGGAAACAGCCTGAAAGGATTGCTTAGGACAGGGTTGAATGGAGAATGCTGGTGAGCCGTCTATGTTCCTTCACGAGGAGTAACAGGCTTAAGTAAGTAAGTAATTCTGTAGAATAGTAGCTATCAAACAAACTATTGACGTTATCATTCAGTATATTTATAAGTATAAGCATGTAAAATAGACTCACTTTCAGCTTGATCAAGTTGCATTGTATCTGATTCTTCATCAATATCCTCTTCTTTACAACTGAAACGAAGACGTCGATCAGAACAAATACAAGTGTTTGGTTTGATACATTCACCACGTTCACCACAATTACCGGCACAAACAGCTATTTTTTTTTCAATAGAGAGAAAAATTTGAATAAAACAATAGTTGGTAACTTATTTCACAAAAGAGATCATTCAATGATTATAAGCTTAGAAACAAACTTAACCATAAACAAGCTGGACGTCTTGAAGTGTTCAATCGATTCGGTACACTATGTTTAAGTAATGCCTTGAGAATTTTCGTTTACTTACTAGGAATAAATGAGGATTATAAATTGATGTCAGTTATTGAGGTTAGGATTAACAGTTGGACATTAAGGTTTAGGAATCATATTTGGAGTTTTCATTACGAAATGACATCAGTTATAATGTGGAAATGTCAGTTAACCATATGAATGAATGAATGAATGAATGAATTTCACACAAAAATCCAAGGCCTGTAGTTTAAAAAACGATTGCCTCATCTCTAAATTGAAGTTTCACCTTATTTATAAATAAGTAGACAAAGTATCAAACAGTTAGCTTAATCAACATCACAAGGAGGTTTTGTCGGGATTGTAGTAATTTAATAGTTGAATTCATGAGTCAATTAAAGTTAGAACACCATGGAAAACCTAAAAGCACTTGACAGCCATTTCATCCTAATATGGGACTCCTGAGCAATGTGTATCCCCGATCATGGATTGGTTGAAGTTAAACATTAACAACATTGGTTATGTATTCGCGCAAGACCGATAGATCCTGTGTTCGAATTCCACCGGAATGGTGGATTGTGTTTGCTTACTGCTGAAGAGTTTCATATTAAAATGAAATAGCTTTCACGTTTTCCATGGTGGTCTAGCTTCAATTGACTCATGAATTCACATAATCAAATACAAACCACAATCAGATTAACTAAATTAACAAACATTTCAATTTTTATCGAATAGTTTCATAATATTTAGGGCGCCAAGTTGATATGAGACATGAAAGAAAAAGTAGAATATGTATCGGTGAAAATCTCAACATTTTTATGATTTGTCTTTGTGTTCGATTTGTTAACTTATCACTTTGAAATACTTAACAAACAAAACTTTCTTTTATATAGTTACTTACTTATTTACTTACTTACTAATAGTTGCTTAGCATAATACCTTCATTATTAATTGCGTAACCATTTTTAGAATGTCACCATGACAACTAAAGTTTTCCGGAAAAAAATCTTTTTTTAAAGAAAAAACAGACTATTTTAAGCACTGACATTTACCTTTCGTTATTTGTTGTTGTTGTTGTTGTTGTTGTTGTTGTTGGTGGTGGTGGTGGTGTCATCGCCGTCGTATGGATATTCAATATAATTCATAAACAAATATGCAGTGTATCGGGTATTTAAAAAAAAGTTTTTGTTTTTTATTTCGTGGGGGGTGAGAAAAACGAGAACTAGAATATGACAGACGTAGATACAGTAACAATATTCATTGATATGTCATGTTTCACATAAGACATTGAAGTCATGATAAGTTTTTATCTTTTGTAAAATCATGTCTTATAATTAGTTTCATCAATGTAAACTTGAATAATGTTGAGTATAAGTGATCATGTAGGTTAACTATAAGGTGATTAAATCTGTTATAGTTTCCTATTAGTTGTTTACTGAAAATATATAAAATACATTGGTTAATTATGAATAAATAAGTGGTTCAAATCTCATAGGGGGCGAGGTTGTGGATGCGCACTGCTGAGGAGTGCCGCAATGGGACGAAACGGCCGTTCATTTCTTCCAGGTTTTCCCTGGTGATCTAGCTTCAATTGACTCATGATCTCAACCACTGAGAATACAATAATATCCACAAAACCCATCTTATTTAATAATTGAATTCATCAGTCAATTCAAGTAAGACCACTTTAAAAATTCTGGAAGCAATAGATATTTATTTCGTTCTAGAATCTCCAGAATACCCTCTTCTGATAATAATTATCATGTCTTCACTAGTGATAAACTTCAAGAGGTATTTCTTAGAGTTCTAGTGAGAAATCATGACCAACGGAGTTCAACCAGGTCTGTTGTGAGATAATGGTGGATGGTGGCGTAATTTCGTGTATTGGTTGAAGTTAGATATAAGTATCGTTGAATACTGAATTGATGGTTTAGATGTTTAATTTTCACAGGTCCTGGGTTCGAATCTTGTGGGCGGGATTGTGGATGCGCACTACTAAGGAGTCCTATACTAGGATGAATCAGCTGTCTAGTGCTTCCAGTTTTCCCATGGTTGTCTAGCTTCAAATTAACTCATGAATTCAACTATGAAATTACTAAACTCTCCACAAAACTCCCTTCTGATAAAATATAAAATTTGTCTAGTGTTTTAGTGATGATCGAATTCTTGTAATTAAGTTTCATTGTGATCACTAGTTTAAGGGATCCGACCTCGTTTGCACTAAATTTTGAAATCAAGTGACGTGAATAACTTGGTAATCATATCTTTGATACTGAAGCTGAATGATTCATGAATTCTACAGGAATTATCAGTTCCTTTAAGGAATGTAGCGCTGCTTTTCTGATGAGTATTGACTAGTACAAATGATAATCTTTTCATTGTCATAAGTTTAAATTTAACCGAAAGGAAACATTGTATTACATCATGTGAATTTATGCTGAAAACAAACGTTATCAATGAAATGCTGAGGGTATCTGTTGAAATGTATGACTAAACATTCCATGTTTCACTCTTCATATCTCTCCAGACCGATTTGCAATGGAACATACCATTTTTTTTAGAAAATGATAGTTTTGTATTTTATTACTGAAGTAACCAAGTATGAAAATAGAGAACGGATGTGAGGACACGAAGCATTTGCAGGTAATACAATGTGTATAGATAGAAAAGTGAAATAGTTCCAAAGTGGTTCTTATGTTATTAGCAATTTCAAGGTTGAATTGGATAATGTTCTTTTGATGTCGAACAACGGTATGCACGACAAACGTGTTACTGAGGACAATGAGGTTAGCGATGAAATTATCAGTAGTGATGCGAATGACCGTATCATACATCTATTAGTAGTCATACTTCTAACAATTACAACTATAGATTAGGTTCTGATCGCTGATCATGATGAGAATAATGATGTCAATAAACAACTATGTTGAACGTACTTCGGGATTAACTAAACACAAACATTAAATAGGAACTTTGATTACAAGTGAGTCAAATGTTCTAGGATGTTCTATGATCCACTTTACCTGAATTAAAATCCCTGTGTGTTTACTTCGTGAACGCTTGCTGATTTTACTAATCTTTGCCAATAAACTATCTCTATGACTAATGTTTAGGCTTTTGAATAATCTCGACTAAGTCTATAATTCTACTAAGAGATTTAGCATGCATTAAATACTCAACTAACAGAATACTATTTATTGGAGTCCAATATAGAGGAATCTTCAATACAAACATCAAGGCAGTTCTACTGTAAGGAGCTCAAACTTGGAGAACTACAACAACCATCATCAAGAAGATACAAGTATTTATAAATAGTGATCTACACAAGATACTCAACATCCATTGGCCGAATACCACGAGCAACAGCCTTCTCTGAGAGAGAACGAACGAAACTCCTGCTGAGTTTAGGAAAAGATGCTGGAAACAGATGGGACGTTACGCAAATCATCAAACTGCCTGACGAGACAAGCCCTAACTTGAAATCCTGAAGGAAAGCGGAAAAGAGGAAGGCCAAAGAACACATTACGTCGGATAATAGAAGCAGATATGAAATGGATGAATAAGAACTGGAAAGAGCTAGAAATGATTGCCCAGGACAGGGTTGGATGGAGAATGCTGTTGAGCGGCCTATGCTCCTTCAAGAGGAGTAATAGGCGTAACTAAATTAGTAAGATATAGAGGAATCTAGCCACTACAATGTTACATAATCAATTTGTATGAATGTAAAAAGTAATGCAATATAATGTACACAAATGAAAAGATCTTGTCAACAGGCATCGAAAAAATAATAATACTACACCACCCTTTAAATATACCATAGTAACCTATTCAAATGTAAAATAGTTTTACTAAAAAAGGAAATATATTTACTGTACCTTTGCTACATAGGGATATATAGGAATGTATCTTTGTTACCATAATATTTCAATGGTTTATACGAATATATAACTTTTATTCATTATGTGAAAGGTAGGTATATAAACTTTCTAATGTCATATGGTTACAAATTTAACTTTATCTCACATGATAATAACTAATTAACATTATGACCTAATTGATGACAGATTTAAGTTTAAGTTATTGGATCTAACTTGTATCTTTGTTCTTTTGTTTGTTATTCAATTCAGTATTCAGTTACCGTAATACATTCAATAGAACGAAACGATCATCCAATGCTTTCAGGTTTTCCATGATGGTCTAGCTTCACTTGATTCATGATCTTAACTATTGAAATTATGATAATATTCACAAACAAGCCGTTCTGATATTAATCAACATATGCTCAATAGTGACTGGCTTCATGAGGTATTTCCTACAGTTCTATTGAGAAGCAGTGACCAGTGGATTTCAACCAGATCTTTTATGATATAATAGTAACTCATTGAAGATAATGATGGATGTGTCACTCAATTTCATGGATTAGTTGAAGTTAGACATTAACACCGTTGGAATGCCGGCCAGTTCACTGGTCTAATGGTTAAGCGCTGGCGTGTGAGACTGATAGGTCCTGGGTTCGAGTCTCACAAGGCGGAATCATGGATGTGCACTACTGAGGAGTCTCACAATAGGACAAATCGGTCATCCAGTGCTTCCAGGTTTCCTATGGTGGTCTAACATCAATCAGTTCATGATCTCAATCTGAAATATTTTTCTTTATGTCAACAACAATTAATTTAGTTAGAGAATGTATCATTTACTTTTAACTTAAAACTAGTGATTTTATATCAGAATATCTAAAAATTTTTTAAATGATGAAAACACTTCATTTTCCCATCCAAAGTTATCAGATATTCTCATTACATTGTGATGTGTTTCAGGGTTATTACGTAATGATCTTGTTCTAAGTTTGTATTGACGTAAAACTAATA